GAGGAACAAGAGGAGCAGGCATGGCAAAATGTGGAGGAGAGAGAGGAGGAGATGGAGGGGATCATAACAAGGAGAACCAGAAGAGGGGAAGGAGGAGGAGGAGGAGGAGAGGGAAGGGGGAAGAGGAGAGGATGGGGAAAGGCGGGGCAAGTGGAAGGAAATGTGGGGAAGACAGAAGAACAGAACTCTCGGCAGAAGGCGGAGGAAGAGGAGAGGCCGTAGCATGGAAGGAGCACTGGGATTGAGAGTGATAGACTGGGATGGGTTCGGGGAAGAGGAGGACGTAGAATGGAATGGGGTTGCACCAAATGAAGGAGGCGATTGCGCCAAGGAGGTGAACCTATCAATATGGACGAAGATCTGACTTTAACTGCAGCAATTATTATTGCTGCAGTGGGAGCTGTGCAAATTTTCAGCTGGCCTGTGTGTTTGAGAGCAGGGGGCATTGGAGGAGCTGCGTGAGTATGATTGGGCTTGATGGCTATGGCAGTGTGACGTCTCTGTGTCAAGTCTTCTTGCAGTTGAATTAGGGTGACCCTAAGGAAGGGCCTATTATTCAAAACTAAGAGGAGGGAGATGAGGAGAGAAAGGGGTTTGGGGGGTATTGGGGACGGGTATGGGGATGTTTGTGGGGTTATAAGGGGTTCTGGAATCTGGATCCCCCCCAATTTTTTTTTATTTCCCCCCCCCCTTTTGTGCAGGGTGCCAACGACCCCCGACCGGTAGGTGCTGACCAGCCAACCGGTCGGCTGGTCGGCATCCGACCAGTCAAGGGCCGCCGACAGTCGGGGTATGCAACCTTGCCTTAAACCACATGCACTTATAGGCTTCCTTTTGCCGGAAGCACATTCGCCTCTGCTCGTGGAAGAGAAACGAACCGGCTCGAGCGATATTTCTGCTCTGTTAGCTGTTTGTCAGCTTTGCTTCATGTAGATTTTCAAAAGACTAGGCCGAGCCGCGAAAGCCACAGCGTGTGCACGGCCGCGTCGGAGAAAATTTATGGCAAAAGTATTGATGGTTTGAAACTCCTGGTTCTATTTTTTCCTCCGCCAGATCTTCTTCCTGTCGTTCACTTCTGAGAGATTCCTCCGGTCTCTGGATTGCCGAATTTGGACTGGATTCTGTCTCCATGTGATTCCTGAAGCGCAGTGTGGCATACTCAGCTCCACACGGGGCCCCACAGTAGGGTTAGGGGTTTTTCGTAGGGTTTTAGGGGCTGTGTCACGTGTAGGACCCAGTAGGCCACTGACTCAATTTTGGCACCTTTACTTTTGCGATTTTCGCCAGACTCCTGCGTTTGGGCGCCAGACTTTTCGTATTTTCGTTTTTGGCGCCAGAACAGACTCCTGTTCTTGGTGCGGGACGAGTTTTCCTTTCGGCCTAGGACACTAGGCCCAGCGTTATATATAGCTGGGCCGACCTCTTTCTAGGCATGTAGTTCTTCAGGGAGTTCACTGAGTAGTGTTATGCGCTTCTCAGTGGTGGCTCTGAGGTAGTAGTATGAGTAGACATGCTGGGCGCAGTTTGAGTATTCTACAGCGCTGGGCGTGAGCTAGGAGTTGGAGCGCTGCCGCTGCACTGTAGACAGTATGGGAGAGAGAGAGAGAGAGAGAGAGAGAGAGAGAGAGAGAGAGAGAGAGAGAGAGAGAGAGAGAGAGAGAGAGAGAGAGAGAG